TGAAATACAAGACAAGCCTTATGTCATCGATGATTTACTAATGATGGTGCAAGTACTACACGAATGTGCGCCGATGCCTTGTTCGGAGATGGTCAGCGTCATTACAACGTTAACGCGAGTGTACAACTTGATTGGAAATAGATTTGAAATACCAAAAGTGAGGGAAAGCGAAAAGCAGGGGAGAAATGTTTTATTATATTTTTCGTTCGGCAAAGTATAAAGCATTCTATCGAGTGAGATGCAATAAATAAGAAAAGATTAAGAAGTTTTTTTTTCGTAGTAGTTGTTTCTACAATGTGTGATTTTAACGTAAGAAGCTATCTTATGGAGATTCTTTGGAAGAGATTTATATTTTTCTGTTTAATATATATAAAAAAGTTCCGTGAAAAAGTATTTTTTGAGAAAATATATATAATATATCTACACTCACTCATTCACCAACACACACACACGCACACACACACACATATGTTTTACACATCTAAAAATGTTATATTTACTAAGTGTAATTTTTTAACAATGTACTGTGGTTTTAAAATATTGTATTTGTATTTAAAATATTCAAACGTCTAAGGACAATTATATAATACTATTTAATCTCTATAACGGTAAACTTTTTTATGTGTCATTTTCTGTAATTTTCCTTTATTTTATTTGTAATATTTTATTTGTATTTATAATGATTTACAAATAAAAAAAATATATAAAAAAACTATTAACTGCTGCAATTAACTAATAATGGTAGTCAAATTATTTAAAATAGTATATAGTTTGTATTACAAGACTTGTGATTCAATTGTAAGTTATATATAAGCTGGTAATATTTCATTCTCACCAACCAAACGATAATGGGAAAAAAAGTTATTACAACAGCCAGCTGATAAGTTGTCCTTAAATCAGGAGTTAAAACTTTTCTCGGAGATGTTTTTTTTCTGTGTCTACGTACAAAATGCATCACTCTACACCTGGATACACCGCACTATGCCGTTTGAAATAATGTTCCAATGCATTTGCTGTTGTGACATCTGATTAAATTTGATGTCATGATAAATATTGGTCGAAAGATAATAAAATACGATAAAATAATTTTAATACGATAACAATCGTATTAAAAAATACCGCAAAAAATAAATATTTGATATTGTGGAAACATATTGAAAGACGTTGTCTTGAGATTCTCCAACATGTGAAATCCATCTTCTTTTGCAAGAAAATCGTTTAAGAGAACAGTGTAGGTGGCATTCTTTTGAAGCTCTCTTGCTGTATGTCGGTACTAATAAGCGGCGCATCGAACTTGAAGGGAAACTACTCTCAAGCTTGGTGGTTGACTTATGTTATACGCCTGCAATAAAAGTTCGGTTTTAATAAAACGATATAAAAAACATGCAAAGTTAAGATGAAGCAGTTAAAAATATCAGTTTCGAGTAAGCAACGGCGGAGTTGAAAAATCATGTAAAAAATTATAAATACTTATTCTTGTACTAATTATATAATAATTATTACACATAACAAATCGTTGTATACATTGAATAAATTTGTATTTACTTAAACAAAACATTACGCACCCTGTTAATTATTAATTGTCATGTGATTATTCTTGGAGAAGAAACAAGGTGCCTAATTTTTTGTTTAACTGAATACAAATTTATTCGATTGTTTGCAAATTTACTTGAAGTCCCGAGTATTGCAAGTAAGCGCCAAACAAATTTCCGGTGGAAATTGTGTTGTTGAGATTATGTACACTTCATTCTAACATCGACAGAACCTGCTTTCCTGTCATAGAGGTCTTACCGACGATATTTCCGAAATACAAAACGCTTATGATATCACCTCGTATCACCTGTAAGCGATATGATTATGACAAAATTTACTTGAAGAAGTGAACTTTCAAGTCACATACGGCATACCCAAAATTGCCGTACAATCTCTCGTAGGCAGGTAGAAGGAGTACAACTGAGTCAAAAAGTCCTGGACCATTTTTTTCTATTATTTATAAATAATGGATGCGTAAAGTTTTGTTTAAGTGAATACAAATTTATTTATAATAAAGAAGGAATTATTGAGTAAATCAGGCCAATCAGCGCCGACCTGTAGCCAGGCGCACGTCAGTGAGCCTGGTGTGTGTGAGCGCTTCGTGCGGCTTACTGACGTGCGCCTGACTAAAGGTCGGCGCTGTGATTGACCTGATTTACTCAACAATTACTCCTTTATTATAAGTAATAGAAAAAACTGGTTCAGAATTTTTTGACTCAGTTTTACTTCTACGTGCTTACGAGAGATTGTACGGCGATTCTAAGACACCCTGTATATTACTTATTCCTCATCGTGTTTCTCGCTCTTGTAATGGGCAATCTGAAGCTGTCGCTGTTCTGTACCGCAATGGCAACATCTGTCAACCCGTTCTCGCTCAAATTTTCCACGACGTGCTACAAGCAAAAAATACACACGGTATCAGTACATCATCATTTCCGTTTAAGAATACAAATATGTATTGCACTACTGACAAACCATAATAAGAAAATGTTTTCTCAAAGTGAGACATATATACATTTCGCCGACTGAGAAAATCTTACATAATCAATTAGAGCATTACAGATCAAATTTCCCATATTGCATTTACGCCGTCTGCAATTCTTGCTATGTCCGTCAGAAAAACACTAGCGTCTTTCCACTCATTTTGTGTTCCAGATCGTCAATGAGTTTTCTCATGGAGCGTATCATTTCCCGAACATCTTCCGCCTGTGCAAAAAATAACAAACGTAATATAATTAGTATAAATTATATTAATATAAAATATAATATTATTACAATATTATAATTATACCAATATAAATATTGATATCCTGATAGGAAAACATTTACAAAATTATGTGACGAAATCTTGCACGAAAATTGTAATTTGCAATTATACAGATATATTTTAGGAAATAGATGTAAAAACATTGACTTTTTATAAAATATTTGTAGTTGTTTACAAAATTATTTTCCAAATACTATTTCGGCAAAACTGTAACGATATGGTGAATCATCTTAGCAGCATATTTGCAAAATTAATTTCAAAAAGAAATTGTCCAATAATTGAGAAAAAAATTTCAGCTATGTGATGTTTAACCTTTAAATGGTACACTTCACTTGAGCACCTACTAATGGTACTCTGGTGCGAATTGAGATTTGACAATTTTAATTGTAAATATATTCTGAGGATTAAAACAGAAATCTTTATAACTTCACTTTTCTGGGGTAAAATTGTCTCACAAATCCGGTGGTATTATTTAAATTTAATGAAAACATTATTTTGCAATTAAAAATTTGTAGTAAAACAACTATTTCTGCGTAAATGCCAGCAGTTTGAAAATTTTCGTGGTGCGATATCACACACTAGTAGGTTAAAATACACTTAAGGGTTAAAATATGTAGAACTATAATTGTATATGAAGAAATCAACTTAATTCATGTATATACTTAAAGAAATGCATACCGACTCTTCCGCAATTTTTGACAAATATTATTTACAAAATTTTATTTCGGCAAAACTGTTGCGTTATGGCGAATCATCTTAATGAAATTATTCAAAATCGCCGTTATTCATGATGCCATTTTTGTGCAATATTTTCAAAATGTGCTTATTAGGGTATAATTATAATACTTCCATTGATATACATAAAAAAGAAGAAAATATATAAAAGAAGATAATATATATATATATATATAATGTACGTAATTGTTGATTAACAATTATGTATCTCCATCACACTAGAATCGACAAGAATCGGATTTCTCTTATTGTTAGTATTATTGGTAGAATGCACTTGACTTATGTGTTTTTTTTTTTTCCATGTATGCATGAGATGCAGAGAAACTTTCGTTGCTTGAGTGCAACATAAAAACTTAAAACTTTGCCCACATTGTCACTTATTTCCCGCGTTTAGCAGAACAGATGCCGAGTTGTTATCTTGTCATTACTCAACATTGATTTGTTTGTTCTAAAAAAAGAGCCAATCACGTTCGACTGTTACAAAGCAGTTTGTACTGCTGAACGCGGCCAACCAGTGCACACAATTGCACAAGCATTAAATTTTTCATGTTGCCCTGAACCAACGTTCGTAGTGCATTGATGAAGACCTGAATTTATAATCAAAACAAAAAAATATAATAATGATTTTTTTCTTGTAAATAAACATACGTAATTACTCGTAATGTAAGTAATATGTTGCGTATCGCACTTTAGGAGTTATATAAAGAAAAACTACAAATTTCACATATAACTGTTCATATACTTGTGGTTCGTTTACACGGCAAACACGAGTATGCCACGTATTTGTGACAAAAAGAAACGTTTCCCTTTGCATTACTCGCAACTTTAAACAGAATCAGTCACTTTTAGCGCACCGTTACGATCGTAGGTAGATATTGTGCTAAAGGTTTTCAAGTAGTTAAAACTATAGTACCACTCTCAAACTTTTACATTTAACGTATACATTTTTAGATGATTCCGTCTTGTGAACATATTTTACGTATAACTATTTCGACATATAGTAAAAGTATTTATTAACTACAAATTCACGTTAAAACACTTCATGTACATAGATATATGCGTATCAAAAGTGTCTGTAATGAACGACATTTGAACACGTTACGACGCTTCACTTAGCATATAACCATAAATTATAATTAAATTGTTGAGGCGCAAATATAAGGTATAAGATATGTTTTATTTCTACTTTCTTTATTTAATTTTATACTTTATACTAAACATTCCCGATTAGAAAAAACTTTACCTCAAGTGTTTTCTTTTTTTATGACGGCACTTTATTGGTGACCGTTTTTGAAATCGCAAACAACGTCAAGAACAAAAGGCGTTAATACAACTTTGTATTTTGTGTTATATATTTATCACACTATGGGGACATATCATTTCTTTATGTAAGAAACAATATTTGTAATATTGTTTCGCTCTCCTTACGCTGAATGCACGCTGATTAGCGGATCTTTATTAATTCATATCTCGTTAATTATTGCGAATCTTCCAAAGAGATATAGAACTTTTTGTCTTAGAATACCCACTTTGTTTTGCCTACGAGCGATAAGACGGCAATTGCGGGACACCTTGTATATATAAAAAAATTTGTATACATAAATTAAGACTTTTATAATATTTATACTTTTGTTTAATAGATGGTTAATCGAACCGACACTACCGGAAGCATACAACATGATATTCAATAGCATCGGTAAAAATCTGAATAAAAATTGATACTAAAATAGATTTATATATTTATGTTTATTATTACTTTTCTGTTTATTGTGTTATTTTTCTTATGTAGTCTTCACTGCTACCTTATTACAAAGTCCTGTGTACGACCAAAATCACATTGCGTGAGTATTATGTGTATCATTTCTCGCAAAAAAACGTTACAAAAAAAACTTTTCACACAAAACCTTTTAACCTCATTTACGTAATAGATTAATGAAGTACGGAAAGCTAGGATCTATTATTGGACATGAAATTAATCACGCCTATGATAAAGACAGTAAGTAATTTCTCCTGTTACTAAGTCGAGAAAAAAAATCTTATTACACTAACGTTGAGTGCAGGTTATAACATAGACAAACATGGGAATGTCGTGCAACCGTGGACACAAAATTCTATTGAAGAGTATAAACATATAATGCAATGTTTTATTGAACAATATAACAAGTATCTGGTTCCAGGATTGGAACGTGAGAATATTCAAGTGAGTAAATTTAAAAAAAAGCATACAAATGTAAACCAAATTTTACTTTATTTTTTAGTTATTTAGAAGAATCTCGATGTTTTAATTAGTCTATAATTGCATAATTTCCATGGTTTTTTGAGTAAATACTTGGTTTTTTTTTTTAGGTGAACGGGCAACGGACGCTCGGAGAGAACATGGCGGATGCTGCTGGAATTGTTGCTGCATATTACGCGTACAAGAACAGAAAAGCAAGATTGAATGAAACAGAGTGGCGGCTGCAAGGACTGGAAGATTATAGCGAAGATCAGATCTTCTTCTTGGCGTATGCTCAAGTAAATATCTATTAAAGAATGTACAATGAGATGTATGGACACTACGGTCAATGAACAGGCGGTGAAAATATATGGACTATATATATGGAAGTTATTAATATCATCTCTTCTTTTAGTTATTCTGCGAAAGTGCTTTGCCAGAAACAATACAAAGTATTGATTATACTTCTGACGTCCATCCTGCGAGCGAAATTAAGATTCGCGGCAGCCTTTCGAATTCTCGTGAATTCTCCGAGAGTTATAATTGCTCTGTGGGAACTCCAATGAATCCGGAGAAGAAATGTGATCTTTGGTTCTAAACTGAAGAGACGTAAATGCCACATGCTTACAAATTTGTGAACGCGATATTTTTTTTGTATAGCAAACATTTTAGAATATTTCCAATTATAATATTTTATAATATTTACAATATTTACAATTATATTTCTAGATATACACACTGACTTCTGCAAAAAATTAGCAAGTACGGTATAGTAACAATTTTATTGAAGTGCTAAAAAATGTATAATTATAAACGCATAATTCTAGACACATTTAGTATAAGTTTAGACTAAGAGTAAGTGTATAGTGTTTAGATAAGTTACGATCTCTCTATTAAAAAATAAGAAAACAAAATCTACGAAACGGTTTCTTGATGGACTATGATGAAAAAACTAGTTGGAATTTTCCAGATGTCAGTATGATATCTATGCATACGAAACATAAGTGAATATTTATTTGAAAAAAGTTATATGTATACTACATATGTACACTATATGCTTGGGAAGTAAAATCATATGCGATAACATATACTCTAATTTTCTTTCTGCATGTATAAAACGTTTCACGATGGTCCACACATTTAATTAAAAATAATTAAATTTTATAAGAATCACGAATGAATTAAATTCGTTTTTAATTAAATTTTGTTTTCCGTATAAAACAAATATTTGAACTTGCTTGCGCTTGAGGTTTGTTGAAATAAAATTTACGGTTTTTTTTACATTTAGAAGTCAAAAACAAACATTGCAATCTTTTACGAATAATCCAAATATACATTCCAATAAATCACTCAGAGAATAATAATGTATTATGTATACGTAGGTATGTGTACTGTAGAAGTTTAAGTTTTTATTGTTCTTATGCATGTATACAACAAATGTATAGAAACAAAAACAAACGGAACATTTTCAAAACTGATTAAAGATTATTGTCTAAAAAACTACGTTCTTTGCTATTTGTATTATATTTCACAAAAACTAAATTTCTAACATAGGTTTTGAACATCGTTATAGGATTGCGTTATGGGAGTGCGTTTGCTCGACGGATAAATGATTATATTCGTCGATCCTGTGCGCTAAGAGGTAACTCGCGGTGGAAGTAGAAATTAGTGTGTAATCCACGCGCGACTGCCGACTTCAAGTTTGCATCACTTTATCTATGTTTATATTTATTAAAATCTTACCGTTTACAAAAAATTTTTTCTTTATAAAAACTCTTGGTTACAAACTATTATATACACAAAGCATTTTTGCTCTAAAAATGTAACAAATTATAGTTTTTCAACATTGACTCTTATTTAAAAAGCAGTATAGTAATTTCTTATTACAATTATTTTCAAAATTATAGTTTAAATATTTGATTCACATGACGATTAGAACATTGACGACTTTACATTTTACGTTAGATATGACATTATGTAATTCACATTAATTACATACACATTTTTGTAAAACTGTATTAATTAATATCCTTTGTAACTAGTTGTAATATAGATTTTGTTATTTCTGTTTCAAACGTTCACAATACTCGGGTTGCGCCACGTTTAAACGCTCTTATATACAAACAGAACGCGTTACTCTTATGGAAAAGCTTCATAATTGATTGGCAATCGAGTTGCTTCTAGCCGTGCATAATGCGTTCTACCTGTTATGATGGGTGTAGCGCGTTAAAGCAAGCATTAAAAAGCGTCGTAAGTATCTATGTAACATATTTTGTCATACATATGACTGTTTCATATAGATTATTGATAAATGTTTCTTTTTCATATATTTCATAGTTTTATATACTTACATATTATGTGTTTTTCTATAACGTGTGCTGTATATATTCATTTTTGAGCAATTGGTTAAACTTAAATTTATACTTATTCGCAGTTATGTAAGATGAAATATAGTGTATTATAAGCATTCATTTTACCAAATATTTAATTTACTTTTATGATCATTTTGCAACTTATTAAATGTATTAAAATCTGTAATTTTTACATTTCAAACATAACTAATAATTACTTTTTTGAGCCATAAAATAAATTAAATCTTGGTTTACAAAAATAACTTTAGTTTTAAAAGCAATACATAGATTTCATTTTCTATTTAAATTAAAAAGCAACTGTCTATACAAAACACTTCGTAAAATTTATTGTCACTTGATTAATAATTTAGGAGATAATAAGGTACATCGCGAATGTTCATTCTCATATCATTTATAAACGTACGACGATTCTCAACTTTCTTCATAATGATTTCGTGTATAACTAATATTGGCTAAAAAAATTTGAATTATAAATACGATAACATCTTGTATACTTTTGGAGAAGTAATAAGTTAATAATGGTAAAGAATATATTTTTATCAAAAAACCAAAAATTACTACAAAAGAAAACAAAATAAAACCATGTAAGTACGTGTAAACCATTAAAAAATGTGATTTAAACACGTAACAAGTATTGAACACATATAACAATTTTTATTTTAGAAACTTAATTTTGTAAAATAATTTTTAACTTTTATTTAAAAACTATATTCTATTTATAAAACCTCCTCTCACCGTTTCTAGATTATATCTGTTGATAAAATTTGTAACCATCACTAGTACAGTCTTCGTAATCTAAAATCACCATGGAATAATAATATTGAATATAATACTTCTAAATCACTCACTATTATATATGTGATTTTTTTACTATGCTAAACTACATTTATATAACTTACTAATATACTTTCATTACATACATACATTAAGTTACGTAATCGAATAAAAAAAAAGATTGTTTTACAGTTATAGCTGTATTAAACGGTTAAGTTCACATAACGTACCGTTTCAGAATCTTCATCTGAATATATGTGGTTAATACTAAAATTCACAACTGCAAGTAGGCCAACCGGTCTTTTAAATGAAACACATATAACAGATAATTAATATAAAATCTTTCTTAGTATTTACATTATACTCTTGTAAGATATAAAAAACTACTGTATATAAATTGAATAAACATAATATACATATACAGATATAAACTACATACAAGATGTATAGTGTAAATTATACATATTGTACATACAGTAATAAGACAATACAAACATTAACAGGTTTATTTAGAAAACTTTGTTTACCTTAGGAATTTATTTTGTATTTGACTTATTATAATATCCAGTGAAGAAAACTTTTTTACATGCCTTGCAACAATATCAAAAAGAAGGTTAACAAAATCCCTTTCTTCTCCTAAATGATGTTCTTGTGCATAACGCACTTCTAATTTAAAATTGTGTCCACGACAAAATAAAAGCTGAAAAAATTGGTTGTGCTTTTCTTGTGACAAATAAATGTTTCGTATTGTATGCAACAACATGTAATCATTTATAATTCCTAATGTCACACCTTGGCAATATATCCATTTCTGCCAACTTAACAACAATCTGTAAATATTCACAAAACTATATTTATAATTTTACTTAGCCACTTATCATTCGGACGAGTTTACTTTTCTCATGATATCGTAATGATATGTCATTACTTATGCCACATATGCTATTACGTTTTTTATAATCGTAGAAGTAAGACACTTTTTGAGGTCATGTCTATTTAACTTTATATATAAATATATGTGTAATTGAACTGTACAAATCTATGTACGGTTTGTAAAAAATTTTACATTTTTTTAGAAAATATGTCACTCGCGAATGTTTAATATTTTTGCAAATATCATACTACTATATCAAGACTCATGTTGTCAGATATATAATATTATGTATAATATATCAGTAGAGAGAAAAGTGTTATACAAACGTCAGTTGGTACTAAAGAAATAGAAAAACGTACTTGTTTTGTGCAGGATTTTGTAAATGCCACTCTAATATATCAGTAAGGTGTTTATTGCACTTTGAACTACCAAGAATACATGTCCATTTTAAAGCTTCGTGATATAATTGAGTATCAATGCTATTCTCGGAAACATTTTTATGTGATGTATCTTCAAGAAATTTGTTGAATATTTCTATCGCTTTATTCTATAAAAAACAGTGTAAAGTGTGTTACTATATGTATTTTGATTAATCTGTATCTTTAAGAGTAGTCAAATAGTTTTGTTTAAGAAACACTTTCTATGAATAATTTATTGTATAAAGTGAAACATTGTATATATTCCACTATTAAAAATAAATATACGTATATAGATGCAAATGTGTTCCGTTATTTTGTTTTAAAAAGTCATGGATATACAATTTTATAGAGTTGTTTTCGGTTGTCACTTTTCGAAAAACAAACGATAAAGAAACATAACGTAAAAAATGTATAGTATAAAAATTTTTTACTGACTATTTCTTTATTTTAATTTCAATTTTTTATTTTTTTTACAGTTTTTCTTTAGTATTTTATTGTAGTAATATTTACCTTGATTTTTCCGCTTTCTGGGAACGGAAAAATCTTTGATATGTATTGAAGAGCATTAAATATTGGATACCATGTTATGTACGCATTTTCCACGTAAAGTATATTGCTAGCAAGATTGAAAAACATGTCTATATTACTCATTCCTACAACAGGATGTTCGTTGTACTTTGTATTTTGCATTAAAAAATAAAAGGCATCGTCGAGAATTTGGGCTAACGTGACGTCAGATACTTCATATATATCCCAATTTTGTGGCTTTCCATTTTTCAGAAGGAAACCAAACTTTTCCCAAAATTTATAATCATAGTTAACGCGATATCCTACAACAAACAAATGTTTAGAGAAAAGTAATACAAAAAACATAGAAAAAGACAAAGAAACAAAGACAGAGAAAGAGAAATAACCAAAGAAAAAAAGCGAGAAAAACAGAAAAGAATAAAAGAATAAACCTTATATTATAAAGAGCAGAGTAAATGTAATACGGTGGTACAAAGTTTGAATATACAATAACAAATACATAGGAATCTACGATAATAACTTGATTGTATTACCATTTTGCTCTGTGATCACGATAAAATCATCTTCCTCAATATTCGAAACAACGATATCTTTTCTTTCTTGGTCNAGGTACGAGTAATGGTGTGTAATAGACTTATTTTTTGATATTGTTACATAAATTATAGGTATCCACCACTTGTGTTCACACAATTCTTTTTGATTCACTGCGATACAATCTATAACTTTTATTGTGAGAGACTGTGCGTCATTGTTTCGTGTTACTTGTACTACAGGATAACCATGTTGTGTTATCCANGACGTTATCACATTTTTTATATTTATAGTCTCTAAACGAATATTTTTATGTATGGCCGGCACAACACGTACATTTTCCCATAGAATATCAAGAATGGACTGTTCATTAAATGTATCACGTGATGTATTCTTACTAATAACAACAAAAAGCATAACACAAAATACATTAAGTGTATGTTTTACCTTTTATAGAAAAATATGCGATACTGTTTTCACGTTACGTATAATGCAACTCATAGTTTACTATACATTTTGTAAGTACTTTAATAATTATTACTTACGTGATAGAATACAATTTTATCGCTTCCTCAAAAATAGAGTTGTATAGAACATTTTTCTTATAAAAGAAATTATTGATCATAGAGAATATACTAAATGCTACAACATAATTTTAATTAATCGAAAGGTATCAAACAATTATCACAAAAGTATGTATATCATATGTATATCCACTTTCATGTTTTTTACATGCAGACAATGATAGGTGTATGTTCTTGTATAGTTTGATAAAATATTCACGAACATTATTTTACATAATTTCATTTTTTGTATTTTTTTGTATTTTTTTTCTTCATAAATTTCGAATATATAGAATGAGATTTTATATCGTTCTGCAGTTTCGTAAGCACTGACTTAAGCAATTAAAAGTTTTAAATTCTTAGTTTTCTTACATTTTTCTTTCCACATGGCACTAAGTGTTACGTTTTGAAAAAATAGATTTTCTTGTATAGGCACACTAGATTCAATATATGCTTGTGTATATTCAAAAACTACTCGTCGTGTCTGGATCGCAATCGACTTCAGTAAAGTTTCATTGTAAATCTATTAACACGGTTTGTATGATTACACATATATCTACTTTAATTTTGTTATTTAGTTTTAAATACAAATATATAGTGTTAAGCTATCCGATTGTTAGTAATTTCAAGAAATAGAAAAAGTTTTCACATATGCAAATTATTAGTAGTAATATCACTAGAAACTTTCTGAAAATATTACAAAAACCAATTGAATATAAAATGGGATACTAAACTCTTTTAACATAGTTTTTGAGATGACTACTCAATATATATATTTTTATCTATCATATCGTTTCGCATATATGTTAGCGGCAAAACCCGAAATCCCCTCATTTTTAGAATTGACTAGTCAATATCCGAAGTAACCAAGCGTTTTGGGCAAAATCAAAAACAGTTCTTTTTTTCGGGTTTTGACACTGTTGTGATTTTAGTCAATTTCAGAAGTAACCAACACGGCTGGTCAAAATTGAAATCTAAAGAATCAAACCTTGAGCTGCGTACCGTTTCGCGCATTTATTTGTACTATACATTACATGTACTATTGATAAACGCGCTTATATGAAACGGAACGCAGGATGTCGGATGTCCGAGATGGGCACAAAATAAATCGGAAAATGTGTCAATCAGACTCAATAGGATAGACTAGTATTAAAACAAGACTAATTCTTTCATGTTCTCTTTATTGATGTTGTAAACGTGTAAACAAAGGGGCTGCGCTTCCTTTGCACCCTCCCTAAAATCTAACCTGACCCTAATCCAAAACTTTTCTTTCTCCACTCTCCCTCGCAAAATTTTCACTCATTTTTATTGATATTTTAGTAACACAAGTTAGGGTTAGGTTAGATTTTAAGGAGGGGGTGCAGGAAGGGGCGCAGCCCCCTCTGCCTACACGTTTACAACACCAACAAAAAGAACATAAAACAATTAGTCTTGTTTTAATACTGGTCTATCCGATCGAGTCTGATTGACACATCTTCCGATTTATTTTGTACCCATCTGGGATTGACTAGTCAAAGTTCGAAGTGATAANACAAAGTTTTCATAGAGTTTTCAATTTTGACCAGCCGTGTTAATTACTTCTAAAATTGACTAAAATCACAACAGTCAAAACCCGAAAAAAAGAACTGTTTTTGACTTTGCTCAAAACGCTTGGTTACTTCGGATATTGACTAGTCAATTCTAAAATAGACGGGATTTCGGGGTTTGACGCTAACGTATCTACTTACATATACATGTGTATATGTAGAATTAAATTGTGTATAATGTTACGTCTTTTAATAGAAATACAAAAAATATAATTTTTTAAGTATTAATGTTACAGTATTATGCATATATATATAGTTTTAAAATGTTTTAATACTATATATACGTATAACATAATATCTTAGTGTAATATCTATCATCAAAATTCCATTAAATGCAAGACTTACTTGATCGACTAAATAAACTCCGTAAACTGTCAAAAAACCTTCAAGGAACCAAGGATCAGATTGTTTCAATGTAACTAACCATTCACTGAATATTTCTTGTAGCACACTGCGTACAACCAAACATGTTACTTTCATTTGTTTTATAATTGAATCTACTTCTCNATTGTATGCAATATTAGCGTCTCTAAAAATAATATTGTTCTTACATCAATTTTGTCGTTTTTATNATATGTATGATTGTTTTAAGCTAATTTTACCTGAACAGTACAAGTCCAGTAGTTACCATAGTTTCGTAATTGTTGGAGTTTATTGGAAGTACTACATACTGCACGTATGAGGATGACGTGTTATTTTTTATATTGTGGTTAATAACATTATTTATAAGAAACACTGCGAATAAAATGTCGTTTTTCACTTGCAATCTGCCGTAAGTAATAAGATGTGTATCTAACCAAACTTTATTGATACATTCGGATGGTACGACTGCTNTTGCTACCAAATGAGTGGATAATTTAGGTGTAGTATGGAATAAAGTATAAAGTTGATCATTTTGCGCTATTTGATCACCACGCATATGTGATAGAACTGTTTGAGCGTAATCATGTTTTATTTGAAGAGTAAATTTGGCTTCGGTTGCGGGATTTTTCCAATATGGAAATATCCATTCAGCAGGAGTACGTGGCAAAATCAAATATCTAAATAATGAAAAAACGTTGATTGTCTAAGAGTACATTGTTTCTTACCTAACAAAGTTTTATACATCTTATTTTCTCTACAAAAATAAAAGAACTACTTGCTGCAATAGCGGTTACTTACTTTACTTTATTGATTTGATTTACATATAAGAAGATCGTTGCAACTTTCTCTAAAATGCAATTATATCTCGCAGTTATCCAATATATTCCAGGTCGTATATCTCTTTTTCGTTGTTTTATTTTAAAATCGTCTACATATTGGTCCTTGAGAACGATGTCAATGAATCCTTCTTTCGTAGAAAATGGCTCGTATAACCAATGCGAATAATTATGCCGAGGAATGTTAGTAGTGATGTTAAAATCGTATGTAACATGACAATATTCTTTGACATACAGTCGTATTGTTTGTTCTGTACATGAAATATTGAGTTTGATACGAGAATTGACGTTGAGTGAATTAGTTTGTACTTCCTCAGAAATATTTAAAAAATATTCTATCGGTTGTATACACTGCGGTTCTTGAGATAAATTTTCATCAGTTGAAGTAGCAATTCCGGTTAGAAATATTAAACACATAGTTCCATAGAACGTAAGCATCTGTGTACTGTGAATCTATATAATTTATTTTGTTATAAACAAGAAGTGATTTTCGCGCGCAAATAAACAACAACACATGATTCCGATGTATACACAATAAATATTACTTGTTTTTAAATATACTCGTCAAAAACAATTGTGTATGACCGTTAAAAGATATGTTTATCACTAAGTTGATACGTCTTTATGTTTATCACATACGCACACACATACATTCACGTAAGTTGTCATGATTGCGCTGTTTTTCTCACTTTGACTTGTAGAAAGACGATTGAAGATTAAATTTGCCTACATTTTACAAGCGCGTTTCAATTATATAGTATGTCACACATTGTAAGTTACGGCAAAGTAAAAACGATATTTTTAGATCGTAGTAATATTTATGTAATATTTGTATATAGAGTATATTACCGAGTAGTACGATTTGTACATTAAGTGATAAACTAAAGTAGATATAAATTTTTTAAATATAAAGAAGAAAATCGGATTCCAAATTGTTTTAGCGTGTGATGAGAAATAAAAATTATAGTTTACAACAAATATAAATATTCAACACATACGAGCCTTCCATAACTTACCATATTTAAGATAATATTTCTATCTCTTACAATTATAAACGCCACTTTATACGTGTTATCGCCATATAAGTTGAAAAACGTATTGCCAACAAATATCTGCAATCTTGCTTGTTCGAAAGGTGGTCTATGACTACAAGTCAGTCGTTTCCGTGAAATAATAAACACATATTATGATGTAAACGTCTGTAGTGAGGGAAACGACCTTACTTAGGTTGTAGTATACGTACGTGTGTATAGAATTCTGAGTTTCAAAATATGTATTTTCACTGTTTAGGAAACATTTATGAAAAAAATGGTTTATCCAGAAAATGGTTTAATATACACACACCAGGCGCGCGGCTCACTGACGTGCGTTTGGCTAAAGATCTGCGCTGATTGGCCTGCTTTACTCAATAAGTACTCCTTTATTATAAATGATAGAAAAAAATAGTTCAGGACTTTTCGACTCAGTTTTACTTCTTCTACCTGCCTACGAGAGATTGTACGCCAATTCTGGGACACCCTGTATATATATAAAGATACATGCATATTTCCGCACAAACATCCTGCAATCGGCTCGTAAAACTCTATATATATATTTCGGTGAAATTTTCGTAAAGCCTTAAAATGTCCTTGTAAATTTAATATTTTATTTTATGGTTTTGAACAAGCAACGCTTAGTTTTGGTTATTCTTAGACACGCACGTTATTTGCAACTTGTTCAATACGCATTTGTGCGCGGTATAAATTGCATCTATTCTCTCTATTGCAGAGTTTTGAAAACGCAAAAAAACATAAAATGGCAAATTAAACTGTACATGTCAACTTATCTTCTTATAGAACTTAAATGTCTCCTCTATATAAGATGCAAACAAGCATCCTATATAGAACAAAACATATCAAATTCTATTACATAAAGTAGAATTACATTATCATTTATCTGTTTTTCCATACATAAAAAAAAATATTACCTGCAATTAAGTAATAATGGTAGTCAAATTACTTAAAATAGTATATAGTCTTTATTACTTGTGATTCAATTATAAGTTACTGTGGTTCAATTATTAAGCTGATAAAATGTTTCTATTCTATTCTCACTAACCAAACGATAATGGGAAAAAAAATTATTACAACAACCGCTGATAAGTTGTCTTTAAATTAGGAAAGCTAAAACTTTTCTCGGAGATGTTTTTCTTTCTGTGTCTATGTACGAAATGCATCACTTTACACTTGGATACACCTACCTATGCCGTTTGAAATAATGTTCCAATGCATCTGCTGTTGTGACACCTGTTTAAATTTGATGTGATACTAACTATTGGTCAAAAAATAATAAAATGCAATAACATAAGACACTCGTATTAGAAAATAATATATATACCGCGAAACATAAATATTTGATAGTATGGAATATATCAAAAACCGTTGTCTTGAGGTTCTCCAACATGTAAAAACCCTCTTCTCCTTTTGTAAGGAAATTGTTTCAGAAATTAGTGAAAGTTGCATTTTTTTGAAGATCGCTGTATGTCGGTACTCGACAAACGGCGCATCGAACTAGAACGGAAACTACTCTCGAGTTTGGTGATTGACTTATGTTATAAGTCACCTCCAAAACAAAGTTCGTTTTCAATAAAACGGTATAAAACCCATGCAAAGGTAAGATGTAGTAATTAAAAATATTAGTTTCGAGTAAGCAGCGGCAAAGTTGAAAAATCATGTGAAAAACTTATTATTATACTAATTATATAATAATTATTACACATAACAAATTGTTGTATACATCGAATAAATTTGTATTCACTTATTTTTTGTATTCAAAAAAAACATTACGCACCCTGTTACTTATTAATTATTATATGATTATTCTTGGAGAAAAAACAAGGTGCCTAAGTTTTTGTTTACCTGAATACAAAGTTATTCGATCTATTGTTTACAAATTTACTTGAAGTCCCGAGTATTGCAAGTAAGCGCCAAACAAATTTCCTGTGGAAATTGTATTGTTGAGATTATGAATACTTTATTCTAACATCGAGAGGACCTGCTTTCCTGTCATAGAGGTCTTAAGGACGACATTTGCGAAAAACAATACGCTTATGATATCACCTCGAATCACCTGTAAGCGATATGATTATGACAAGATTGTGCTTGGAGACTTGAACTTTTAATCTATATATGTATAGTACTTATACCTTATCATGATTTTCGCTTTTGTAATGGACAATCTGCCGCTGTACTGTACCGTAATTGCAACATCTGTCCACTCATTTTCGCTCAAATTTTTTATGACGTGCTACAAGCAAACAACACACACAGTATCAATACACCATCATTTTTTTCTAAGAATACAAATATGTATTGCAATACTGACAAAACATAATAAGAAACTGTTTTCTCACAGTGAGTTATATATACATTTCGTCGACTGAGAAAATCTTACATAATCAATTAGAGCATCACAGATCAAATTTCCCATATTGCAGTTGCGCCGTTTGCAATTCTTGCTCTCTCCGTCAAGAAACATTCGCGTCTTTTTACCCATTTTGTGTTTCAGATCGCCAATGAGTTTTCTCATGGAGCGTATTATTTTCCGAACATCTTCCGTTTGCGCAAAAAATAACAAACGTGATATACTTAGTATGCTTATATTAATATAAACTATAATATTATTACAATTATATGAATATTGGTATATTCTTAATATTTCCATTTGTATACATAGAAGAGAAAAAATATATAATGTACACAATTGTTGATTAAAAAGTATGTATCTTCATCACACTGGAGTCGACAAGAATCGAATTCCTCTCACTATGCGTGATTTCTCTTATTGTTAGTACTAATCGTAAATTGCACTTGACTTATGTGTTTTCTTTTCTACATGTATGCATGTGATACAGAAGAACTTTTGTTACTTGAGTGAAAACTAGAAAATAGAAACTTCGCACACACATTGTCACTTATTTCCCTCGTTTAGCAGAACAGAGGCCGAGTTGTTATCTTGTCATTACTCAACGTTGATTTGTTTGTTCAAGAAAACGAGCCAATCACGTTCGATTGTTACAAATCACCTACTGCTGAACGCGGTCAACCAGTGCAGACAATGTGCGTAAGCATTTAAGTTTTCATGTTGCTCTGAACCAACGTTTGTAATGCATTCATGAAAACCTAAATTTATACTTAAGACAAAAAGATATATAATCGATTTGATTTCTTATAAAAATAACCTTACGTATTTACTCGTAATGTAAGTAACTCGTTGCGTATTGCAATTTAGGAGTTATATAAAGAAAAACTACGAATTTCAAATGTAACTGTTCGTATACTTGTGGTTCGTTCACACGGCAAACACGAGTATGCCACGTGTTTGTGACATAAACATAAAGAGACGTATCCCTTTGCATTGTTCGCAACTTTAAACAGAATCAGTCAGTTTCAGCGCATCGTTACGATCGTAGGTAGGTACTGTGCTAAAAATTTTCAAGTAGTTAGAACTATAGTACCACTCTCAAACTTTTACATTTAACGTATACATTTTTAAATGATTCCGTCTCAAACATATTTTACGTATAACTATTTTGAAATATAGTAAAAGTATTTATTAACTACAAATTCACGTTAAAACACTTTATGTAGATATATGCGTATCAAAAGTGTCTGTAATGAACGACATTTGAACACGTTACGACGCTTCACTTGGCATATAACCATGAATTATAATTAAACTGTTGAGGCGCAAATATATGGTATACGATATGTTTTATTTCTACTTTCTATATTTAATTTTATACTTTATACTGAACATTCCCGATTAGAAAAAAATTTAACTCAAGTGTTTTCTTTTTTGTATGACGGCACTTCATTGGTGACCGTTTTTGAAATCGCAAACACAGTCGATAACAAAAGGTGCCAATACAACTTTGTATTTTGTGTTACATATTTATCACACTATGGGGACATATCATTTCTTTATGTAAGAAACAATATTTGTAATGTTAACATTATATTTACTGTAATAAGTTTTATTCGTTTATCATTTATGTCTACAAATTTTAATTATATATTTCTCTTTCCGTATTTGACACATTTTTGCAGAGTTTTTTTGACAGCTGTAACATATGCGCACGATACGTACGATTTTTCTGATACCAGTAGCATACGCGCACGTTTCGATTCGACAATGAACAGGCAATATATGTTATGCGCCACCAATAAATGTAAAAACGCAGGCACGTGTAGAAACTATATATTACAGTTACATCTATAACATTTTGGTTTTAATTGTATACCATTTAAAGTAATGTTTATTTCTATAGCTTCAGAAATTATATCTACTTTTGATCGTTCGGTCGATCCGTGTGACAATTTTTACAAATTTGCTTGTGGCGGATGGTTACAAAGTAACCACTCATATACATCATTTGCAGTAATTAACTTTCTCACAGTGCTCATAGAAAAATCAGAAAATCAGCTTCGAGGTAAAGTTTTAGTAAAGGTTTCAATTTTTTGATGTTCTACATTTGTGTATGTTCACAAACAAAAGTATATACAACAAAAGTATAAACTTATGTCTAAGTACTATTAAATCGGTTTAAATGGGTTGGATATATTTATTTATAATTGATAGAAACTTGACAGCAATATTGTTTTATTTATTCAAGATTGTTGGTCAAAATTATTTACAATTACTAAATAACAAAAAAATGTAATTTACAAAAGCTACGTCTGTTATTATATTATTAGAACATAGTATATAAACGTTATTTGAGTACTATCACGCAACATCAAGAGAAAATATACATTCCATAATATTCTAAAGAAACACAGGAAAGTTATAAACTCTCTCAATAGCACATGAAACTGTAAACATAAATATTCTATTGCTGCGTGTTGTGTACGTTGTGCGCAGCAAACTGAAATACTTCAAATTTCAAAACTGGTCTGTCTCATTAGAGACATCTACAAACGGATTTTTGTATGCGCGTCAAGTTCTTGAAATAATCAAGTATACTGAAACCAACAGTCATGAAGTTTTCCAAATTTTAAAAACGTTGTATAACTGCAAACAGTATAAAATGCAATGTGCGCAGTCTGATAGTATTCTTACATTTTATATGAATCTAGTTATCTTAATATTGGTTATTTCTTATGTAAATATGATTAACTGTAAAAAAACTAAAAATTTAAGAAATACGGATTGTGCAATATGTGATACATTACACGACTGTGTGTATATGTGACATTCTGTCGAATTTTCGTTGTCTACAGAAATTTTAAACGCATCGTCTAAACCGAGCGATACTATGTCTTTCATAAAAGCGAAGCGTGTATTCGCGCAGTGCATGGATAAAGGTACGTCACACTACAATACTAAAAATATAATTATTACGACGTATGCTTTCAATTTAACTACTCAATATAATAATTACAACGTATAAAATAATAAAAAACGATTATTACTTTTTGGATGTTAGAAACTAGTAAAGCATTTGGTATGAGTAACTTGAACGCCATTGTAAATCGCTACGGCGGATGGCCAATAGTTATGTCCCGTAACGAATGGAATGAAAGAAATTTGACTTGGCAAAATGTTACTACCAATTTGCATAACAATAAATTATTAGGCGTCGGCCTGTATGATATAGAAGTATCTCAAGATTTAAAACTGCCCAACAGTAACGCTATCTATGTAAGTACATTTCATTTTTATAAAATACATTAACATATATGATAGATATTACACTACATTGTATTTATTTTATTTGACCAAAAAAGTACTAAAAAGAACAAACACAATTATTTGTTTGCAAATAACGATGCATACATATTAAAGATAACACCGTTCAGAAACAATTTTCAAAATGATAAGTACATATGATTTTAGATTTTTGGACCTGCTCTTCCTTTTTCTCGAGACGAAATGATATCCATAAACAATACTAAATGGCGGAAAGAAAAGTATAAATCTACCATCGTAACCGTTGCGCAAAATCTTATAACAGAAAATGGCGGAACAAGTAACATGATTAAACTTAATCAAGATGCACTTGACATCGTACATTTTGAAGCGGAACTAGCTAACGTTAGTATGAACAATCACGATATTAATAGTAAACAATACATTTACTTATTGTTATGTATTAAATTCATAATATTTTAAATAACATTTTACATCATGAAATAACTTCGTGTTTTATGTCACTATATACATATATATATATATATATATATATATGTGTGTATGTATGTGCGTGTGTGTATATTATACCATATATATGAATATATATATATATATTTGTTTTATACTGTAAGTTCTTTGATCACATTATTCAAGAGCCGATTGCATCAAATGACTAGTTTTCTTGTACTATACTGCTTACAGTTGACGAGCACTGTAGACAGGATAACTAATACATTTATTGCGCTAACAATCCAACAATTGCAAGAAAAGTACGACAAGCAAAATCCCGGAATAATAGAGAAGGTGCGATAAAATACTATATTTCTTATATTTTTCAGTACATATTTTTTATTCATGAATAATTTTTTCATTACAGATTGACTGGCGCTCAGCCATTCAGGATTTATTTGCATCAAAAAAAATCGCGATAGATCCATCTGAAAAACTTTTTGTTGCAGCGTATGAATATCTTATCAATTTAGTACCGTTGTTAGAACGTACACCGTCACGTACTATTGGTAAAATTTCTTTAATAGTGTAGTTCAAAACATAGTGATACAGCGTAAAATACTAAGAAAAGTATGTTATAAACTCAACGATGTTGAACTCTAATTACAGTTAATTTCATGATATGGAGTTTAATCAGAAAGTTAACTGATTACATCAAACCACAGAAATTTAGTGGCTTTGCTCGCGTCATAATAGGTGCAGACAATACCCAGCTAGAAGAAGATGATACAAACTGGATGCCATGCATTAACTCGCTCAACTTAGATCATGCTATTTCGCATGAATATGTCAAGAAATACATATCGCTTGATACCATACAAGACGTAAGTTTGTTACATTTTAAATAGATACGTACAATAAACTGAAATTAATATATACATACAATAAAAGCAAATACAATACATACACGTAAAATATACTTACTTTATACTCAAAACCAAAATTCTTGTAGATCACAGAAATAGATACAGATATTACAAGCGTCCTTCATCAACAAATAAGAAACGCCACATGGATGGATGAGCCTACAAAAGAAGCGGCTGTCGAGAAACTTACGTATATGAAACACGAATTTTTTTGGCCTGATTGGTACAGCGACGAAGCTATTGACAGATATTACGAAGACGTAAGTGCATCTTCTAGCAAAAAATATTTCACAGAAATAAACCCTGTTTACTATAATATGGTTTTTCTTTTTTGCAAAGTAAGAGATGCTCAATAATAGTTTACATCCGTACTATTATATATTTATTTATTTGTTTATTTACTTATGTATTTTATCGTGCTTTTATAAAAGCAGTGATTTTATGTATTTTAGTTGAATATCAGTACGGAATATCTCGACAACATTATAAATATATGGAATTTTGAAACGAAGAAAATGATAAACTCGTTAAGGACACCCGTAGACAAGACAAAGTATAAACTTTATGCAATCGTGTTTGTTGTTATGTACTGCGAAGTACACATGCTATATATATAAGTAAATTTGTATACATAACTTAAGACTTTTATAATATTTATATTTTTGTTTAATAGATGGTTAAACCAACCGACACAACCGCGAGCCGCCTACATTATGGTATCCAATAGACTCGGTAAAAACTCTGATTAATAATGTACACTAAAATAGATTTATGGTTATGTTTATTATTACCTTCCCGTTTATTTTGTTTTTTTCTTTTTACGTAGTTCTCACTGCTGCTTTCTTACAAAGTCCTGCATATGACCAAAATCGCATTGCGTGAGTATTATGTGTATCATTTTTTGCAAACAAACGTTACAAAAAACCTATTCTCAAAAACTTTTAATCTCATTTACGTAATAGATTAATAAATTACGGAAAGCTAGGATGTGTCATTGGACATGAAATTAATCACGCCTTTGATGACGACGGTAAGTAATTTTTCCTGGTATTGTGTCGAGAAAAAGAATCTTATTACACTAATGTTGAGTACAGGTCGTAACTTCGACAAAAATGGAAACATCATGCAAACATGGACACAAAAGTCTATCGATGAGTATGAAAATATAACGCAATGTTTCATTGACCACTATAACAAGTATCTGATTCCAGGATTGGAAAGTGAGAATATTCAAGTGAGTAAAGTTAAAAAAAAGCATACAAATGCTGCCAAACTTTTAATTTATTTTTGAGTTATTTAGAAGAATTTTGTTTCTCGACGTTTAACTTTATCTATAATTGTTCCATAGTGTTTTAAGTAATATATATATTTAATTGGTTGTTTTTAGGTGAACGGGACACAAACGCTCAAAGAGAACACGGCGGATGCTGCTGGAATTGTTGCTGCATATTACGCGTACAAGAACAGAAAAGCAAGATTGAATGAAACAGAATGGCGGCTGCAAGGACTGGAAGATTACAGCGAAGATCAGATTTTCTTCTTGACGTATGCTCAAGTAAATATCTATTAAAGAATGTACATTGAGATGTATGGTAAAAATACGTGGGCTATGGAAGATATTATAATATCATTTCTTCTTTTTAGTTTTTTTGTGAAAGTGCTCTGCCAGAAGTGACACAAAATATCACTTCTGACGTCCATTCTGCGATGGAAATTAGGATTCGCGGCAGCCTTTCAAATTCTCATGAATTCTCCCAGAGTTATAATTGCTCTGTGGGAACTCCAATGAATCCGGAAAAGAAATGTGCCCTTTGGTTCTAAACTGAAGAGACGTAAATGGAACTTGCTTATAAATTGTTAACGCGATATTTTTTTTGTATAACAAACATTTTAGAATATTTACAATCGTTATATTTCTAGATATACACACTGACTTCTGCAAAAAAATTAGCAATTTCGGTATAATTACGATATTCTTGAAGAGAAAAGAATTGTATCTTTCTAACCGTTAAATTTTAGACACGTTTAGTATAAGTTCAGATTAAATGTAAGTGTATATTGTTTAAATAATTTACAATCTCTCAAAAAATAAGAAAACAAAAATTACGAAACGGTAGATTTCTTTATGTACTTTGGTAAAAATACTATTTGTACTTTTACAGATGTCAGTATGATATCTATATCTCATACGAAACATAAATGAATATTTATATGAAAAACGTTATATGTAACTATTCGTTGAAAGAAAATTTACGGTTTTCTTTACACTTAGAAGTCAAAACCAAACATTACATTCTTTTACGAATAACCCAAATATACATTTCAATAAATTATTCAGAGAATAATATCGTATTACGTATAAGTATGTGTCCTGTAGACGGTTTAGGTTTTATTGTTCTTATGCATGAATACACCAAATGTATAGAAACAAAAATAAACGAAACATTTTCAAAAGTGATTAAAGATTATTGTCTAAAAAATAAGGCGTTCGTTGCTTTTTGAATTATTATTCACAAAAAATAAATTTCTACCGTAGGTTTTGCACATTGCGATGCGATAGCAGTGCATTTGGTTGACGTATAAAAGATTAGAAACATACATTGCGATTGATATATCCACACAAAAACAAAACTCCATATGTCTACATAATTGCATGTAACGCTTTATATGTTCGACAAAACACGTAAGAACGTGACGATTCTTTTATTTTCCCGATGAAAGTGAAAAACTTTACACGAGATAGGCAGATCTTCTCTGTCTGCTGCAGCGGTATAAATTGCATCTATTCTCTCTATTGCAGTTTTAAAAGCGCAAAGAAACATAAAATGGCAAATTAAACTGTACATGTCAATTTATTTTCTTATAGAACTTAAGTGTCTTATCTATATGTGATGCAAACAAGCATCATATATCGTATATAAACCAAACATATCAAATTCTATCACATTAAAGTAGAATTACATTATCATTTATCTGTTTTTACTTACATAAAAAAAAATATTAACTGCAATCAAGTAATAATGATAGTCAAATTACTTAAAATAGTATATAGTCTTTATTACTTGTGATTCAATTATAAGCTAATAATATGTTTCTATTCTAATTTCACTAACCAATCGATACTTAGAAAAAGAATTATTACAACAGCCGCCGATAAGTTGTCTTTAAATTAGGAGAGTTAAAACTTTTCTCGGAGATGTTTTTTTTTCTGTGTCTATGTACGAAATGCATCACTTTACACTTGGATACACCTACCTATGCCGTTTGAAATAATGTTCTAATGCATTTGCTGTTGTGACATCTGTTTAAATTTGATGTGATGATAACTATTGGTCGAAAGATAATAACATGCAATAACATAAGACACTCGTATTAGAAAATAATATTTATACCGCAAAACATAAATATTTGATATTATGGAATATAACAAAAAACGATGTCTTACGGTTCTCCAACATGTGAAAACCCTCTTTTCCTTTTGTAAACAAATCGTTTCAAAAAACAGTGTAGGTTGTATTCTTTTGAAGATCGCTGTATGTCGGTACTCGACAAACGGCGCATCACACTAGAACGGAAACTACTCTCGAGGTTGGTGATTGACTTATGTTATAGGTCACCTGCAAAACAAAGTTCGTTTTTAATAAAACGGTATAAAAACCATGCAAAGGTAAGATGTAGTAATTAAAAATATTAGTTTCACGTAAGCAGCGGTGGAGTTGAAAAATCATGTCAAAAACTTATTATTATACTAATTATATAATAATTATTACACATAACAAATCGTTCTACACATCAAATAAATTTGTCTTAACTTAAACAAAACATTACGCACCTTGTTAAGTATTACTTGTCATATGATTATTCTTGGAGAATATCAAGATGCTTAAGTTTTTGTTTAACTGAATACAAATTTATTCGATTTACTGTTTACAAATTTACTTGAAATCCCGAGTATTGCAAGTAAACGCCAAACAAATTTCCTGTGAAAATTGTGTTGTTAAGAATATGAACACTTTATTCTAACATCGAGGTAACCTGCTTTCCTGTCATAGAAGTCTTACCGACAACATTTGCGAAAAACAAAACGCTTATGATATCACCTCGGATCACCTGTAAGCGATATGATTATGACAAGATTGTGCTTGGAGACGTAAACTTTTAATTTATATATGTATAGTACTTATACCTTATCGTGTTTCTCGCTTTTGTAATGAACAATCTGCCGCTGTAATGTACCGCGATGGCACCATCTGTTTACTCATTCTCGCTCAAAAATTTCATGACGTGCTACAAGCAAATAATACACACGTATCAATACACCATCATTTTCTTCTAAGAATACAAATATGTATTGCAATACTGACAAAACATACTAAGAAACTGTTTTCTCACTGTGAGATATATACGTTTAATATATACGTTTAATATATACGTTTCGCCGATTGAGAAAATCTTACATAATCAATTAAAGCATCGCAGATCAAATTTCCCATATTGCATTTGCGCCGTTTGCAATTTTTGCTATCTCCGTCAAGAGACACTTGCGTCTTTCCGACCATTTTGTGTTACAGATCGCCAATGAGTTTTCTCATGGAGCGTATGATTTTCCAAACAACTTCCGGTTGCGCAAAAAACAACAAACGTGATATACTTAGTATAATTATACCAATTAGTGATAAATTGAGATTACTTTCAGACTCTATTCAGATATTATTAGTTTAGTATATATATATTAGTATAAAATATAATATTATTACACTTACATGAATATTGGTATATTTTTGCTATTTCTATTTGTATACATAGAAGAGAAAAAATATATAATATACAAACTTGTTGATTAAAAATTATGTATTTTCATATCACACTTGAGTCGACAAGAAACGAATTCTTCTCACTATGCGTGATTTCTCTTATTGTTAGTACTATTGGTAGAATGCACTTGACTTATGTGTTCTCTTTTCTACATGTATGCATGTAATACAGAAGAACTTTCGTTGCTTGAGTGAAAACAAAAAATTGAAACTTTGCACACATTGTCACTTATTTCTTTCGTTTAGCAGAACAAATGCCGACATGTTATCTTGTCATTACTCAACATTGATTTGTTTTGTTCTAGAAAAAAAACCAATCACGTTTGATTGTTACAAATCAGCGCGTACTGCTGAACGCGACTAACCAGTGCAGACAATGTGCGCAAGCATTTAATTTTTCATGTTGCCCTGAACTAACGTTTCTAGTGCATTAATAAAAACCTAAATTTATAATCAAGACATAAAGGTATATAACCGATTTGTTTTCTTGTAAATAAACATACGTAATTACTCGTAATGTACGTAACTCGTTGCGTATCGTACTTTAGGATTTACAAAGAAAAACTACAAATTCCAAATGTAACTGTTCGTATACTTGTGGTTCGTTCACACGGCAAACACGAGTATGCCACGTGTTTGTGACATAAACATAAAGAGACGTTTCCTTTTGCATTGTTCGCAACTTTAAACAGTCAGTTTCAGCGCATCGTTACGATCGTAGGTAAGTAACTGTGCTAAAGGTTTTCAAGTAGTTAGGTCTATAGTACCACTCTCAAACTTTTACATTTAACGTATATATTTTTAGATGATTCCGTCTCGAACATATTTTACGTATAACTAATTTGAAATATAGTAAACGTATTTATTACCTACAAACTTACGTTAAAACACTTCATGTAGATATATGCGTATCAAAAGTGTCTGTAATGAACGACATTTGAACACGTTACGACGCTTCACTTGGCATATAACCATAAATTATAATTAAATTGTTGAGGCGCAAATATATGGTATACAATATGTTTTTTATTTCTACTTTCTTTATTTAATTTTATACTTTATACTGAACATTCCCGATTAGAAAAAAAAGTTTACTCAAGTGTTTTCTTTTTTTTATGACGGCACTTCATTGGTGACCGTCTTTGAAATCGCAAACAAAGTCGAAAACAAAAGGTGCCAATACAAATTTGTATTTTGTGGTACATATTTATCACACTATGAAGACATATCATTTCTTCATGTAAGAATCACTATTTGTAATGTTAAAATTATATCTATTGTAATAAGTGTTCTTAGTTTATCATTTATGTCTACAAATATTAATTATATATTTCTCGTTCCGTGTTTGACACACTTTTGCAGAGTTTTTCTGACAGCTGTAACATATGCGCACGATACGTACGATTTTTCTGATACCAGTAGCATACGCGCACGTTCCGATTCGACAATGAACAGGCAATATATGTTATGCGCCACCAATAAATGTAAAACCGCAGGCACGTGTAGAAACTATATATTACAGTTACATATATAACATTGTGGTTTTATAACTTATTTTTTATGTGTGTACCATTTAAAGTTTATTTCTATAGCTTTAGAGATTTTATCCACCTTTGATCGTTCGGTCGATCCGTGTGACAATTTTTACAAATTTGCTTGTGGCGGATGGTTACAAAATAACCGATCAAATACATCATTTCCAGTAATTAATTTTTTCACAGTGCTCAAACAAAAATTACACAATCAGCTTCGAGGTACAGTTTAAGTAAAGGTTTTGATTTTTTGATGTTCTACATTTGTGTATGTTCACAAACAAAGGTATATACAACGAAAGTATAAACTTATGTCTAAGTACTATTAAATCGGTTTCAATGGGTTGGATATATTTATTTATAATTGATACAAACTTGACAGCAATATTGTTTTATTTATTCAAGTTGTTTGGTCAAAATCATTTACAATTACTAANTANCAAAACAATGTAATTTACAAAAGCTACGTCTGTTATTATATTATTANAACATAGTATATAAACGTTATTTGAGTACTACGCAACATCAAGAGAAAATATACAACTATAATATTCAAAAGAAACAGGAAAGTTATAAACTCTCTCAATAGCACATGAAACTGTAAACATAAATATTCTGTTGCTGCGTGTTGTGATACAATACAATGTGCGCAGACTGATAGTATTCTTACATTTTATATGAATCTATTTATCTTAATATTAAGTATTTTTTATAAAAATATGATTAACTGTAAAAAAACTAAAACTTTATGAAAAACGGATTGTGCAATATGTGACACAGTACACGACTGGGTGTATATGTGACATTCTGTCGAATTTTTGTTGTCTACAGAAATGTTAAACGCATCGTCTAAACCAAGCGATACTATGTCTTTCATAAAAGCGAAGCGTGTATTCGCGCAGTGCATGGATAAAGGTACGTGACACTACAATAATAAAACTATAATTATTACGACGTATACTTCCAATTTAAATACTCAATATAATAAATACACTGTATAAAATAAAAAAACACGATTATTACATTTTGGATGTTAGAAAATAAAGCATTCGGTATGAGTATCTTGAACGCCATTGTAAATAGCTACGGCGGATGGCCAATAGTTATGACCCATCACGAATGGAATGAAAGAAATTTGACTTGGCAAAATGTTACTACCAATTTGCATAAAAATAAATTAGTAGGCATCGGCCTGTATGATATAAAAGTATCTGAAGATTTAAAAATGTCCAACAGTAACGCTATCTATGTAAGTATATTTAATTTTTATAACATACATTAACATATATGATAGATATTATACTACATCGTATTTATTTTATTCGACCAAAAGAGTACTAAAAAGGACAAAACCAATTATGCGTTTGCAAATAACAACATGATGCATACATATTAAAGATAACACTGTCCAGAAACAATTTTCATACTTATAAGTACATATGATTTTAGATTTTTGGACGTGCTCTTCCTTTTTCTCGAGACAAAATGATATTCATAAACAACACTAAATGGCGGAAAGAAAAGTATAGATCTACTATCGTAAACGTTGCGCAAAATCTTATAACAGAAAATGGCGGAACAAGTAACATGAGTAAACTTACTCAAGATGCACTTGACATCGTACATTTTGAAGCGGAACTGGCTAATGTTAGTATGAACAATCACAATACTAGTATAAAAAAAAATACATTTACTCATTGTTATGTATTAAATTCATAATATTTCAAATAACATTTTACATCATGAAATAAATTTCTGTTTTTATGTCACTATATACATATATATATATATGTGTGTGTATGTATGGGCGTGTGTGTATATTATACCATATATATATACATATATGTGTTTTATACTGTAAGTTCCTCAATCACATTTTTCAAAAGCCGATTGCATCGTATCAAATGACTAGTTTTCTTGTACTATACTGCTTACAGTTGACAAGCACTGTAGATAGGATAACTAATACATTTA